AGTGTCACACACACACACACACACACGCACACACACACACACACAATCAGTCTTATGTCCTCCCCTTGATTTTTTCTATGTATTTTTTGTATGCTCAACTGAGCACCCTTAAGTAGTGCCAAACAGTCGGTGGTTCCTCGTTTGGAGTGCCTGCTGCACTCTTATGGGGGCTGCTCGGTTCAGGATGTCTGTATTGCCTGTCGGTGATGGCGGATGTTCGTCGGAGTGACTCCCTGGCTCAGTGGGTGGTGGGAACCAACAGTCTGTGGGGTTCAACCGTGATGTGAGTAGGTCATGTGCTGCTTTGCTCCGTGTTGGATGTGTGGATGTCCTCGTCTGCGCTCCACGCTGCCTTGATGCCTGTCCCGCTTGCTGCCTATCTCGCTTGCTTCGTGTGTGGCTCTCTGCGAATTGTTGTGTTCGCTGCGTGGTGTGACTATGTTGTTGGTGTTGCCTTGCGCTCGCTGCTTCGCTGCCGTGCTACTCATCTGCTGGCCGTGCCTTCCGTGTTTGCTGCTTGTGTGCCCTGTCGGTTGGTTGCCTTGGTGCTGGTGCCTTGCGCTCCGCTCCATGGTTGCCGAGCTGCTGGTCCACTCGCCCTGTCGTCCCTTGCAGTGTGACTGCCCTGCTTGTGTTGCCTTGTGCTTCACTACATGGTTGCCACACTGCATGCCCTGTGTGCTATGTTGTTCCTTGCAGTCGTTTTTGGCGTTGTGCAGCTGTGTTGCCTCTACTGTGTTGCCTGATGCTCCACAAGGTTGCTGCCCGCTGCTATGTTCCGCTTGGGGATAGTCTGCCTTCAACAAGGGTCAAAGGGTTCATGACCCAAACCATCAAATACGGAGATTCCGCAGATTGTCGAGGGTTTTCGGTCTTTGTTTCTTGCCTTGTGCTGTTTGTTTGCCCACCCTCCTCCCCTCTACCCTCCAGCCTGTCCTTTGCTGTTTTCTATTCTTCTGGCCGCTTGTTTTTTGATACTTGTACTTATGCCCTCCCGCCTCCCCCATACGTTTCAGCCTATATGCTGCATCACTGCTTGTTCCTCCTCTCATGCCTCTAAGTTCATGTGCCTCCCCAATGCGTTTCAACCTAAGTGCTGCCTCGTTGTTTGTTCCTCCTCTCGTGCCTCTTAAGTTCATGTGTTATATTGTGGCTTGTCATGCTATGGTGTTGGTTCCTTGCCCTTTGCCTTCCCCTCTTCCCTCCGTTTGTTTGTGGGGTGTTATTGCGTGTGTTCTGGTCTGTCTGAAAAAGAGGAGGCGCCAACCACCCCCCTCACTTTGTCTTACTCAGACTTACTGCTTTCGCATATTTGGCTGCTTTCGACTTTACGACCCTTTAAATAAGTACCCTCACCACAAATGGACACACGAATGGTCTTACCCCGCCGCGTTGAAAAATCGCCCCCCGTGCTTTGCATCTTGCCCATAGTGTATCTGGTCGGAGCAGCACGAGTATGATGTGTTGTACTCGTGCGAAACTCGTGTGACACACACATGCTACACACACACACACACACACACACACACACACANACACACACACACACACACACACACACACACACACACACACACACACACACACACACACACACACTCGCACTTCGGATGAAAAATTAGTAGGGCCGAGTCTACTCACTTTGAAGAGGCAGCTGTGCTTGCAAACCTACCCAGGATGAATCTTTAATAAGTGTTTGTAGAAGTTTGTGAGGACAAGAGCCCCGACTTGGGAAAAGTGGGGGATAAGGTTTGAGAATTGGTGAAGGGTAGTATAGTATGGGTGTTAAAGGGTGAGACTGTTGCTGCGTAGGGTCTGCTAGTTTAAATAAAAGTTGGGTGGGGTTCCTGAACCCGGGTTTATGAATTCGGATCCCGGGTTTTGCAGTTTTGGAATAAGCAGGAGTTCAGGCCTAATCCTGACTGTAGCTAGTGGGTTTCGAATCGATTACATGAAGCCCCAGACGGAATAACCGGGGAGTTTCAAGAAGAACCGGACAAGCCCTGGGACTAAGGGCTGGTACTACGTTCGGAAAAGGGACCAGATGGGAAAAGGTGGTCAATAAGGATTAAGGCTGTATGATCAGTAGTATAAATATATTAAGAGTTTATTCATTGAGCATCTCGAAATCCCCCTGATGAAGCCGCTTACTGACAGCGGCTGAAATTAGTAGGGGATGCCTGTACTTCGCTCTCCGGGTCTTCATGCTTAGTTAACGGCGACGGGGGAAGACTATCGCCGATCTCAAGTTTTTTTGTCTATCTTTCGAAAATCTGGTTCCTTTATCACATAATTTGCCTTGGTGCAAACTGTACCTATGGTTATGGTGTGCTAACGAGTGTGTCCTCTGTGGCTTATTCGTAATGAGTGTGTCCTCTGCGACTTGCTCGAGCTTTGCTTTCACTTAGTACTGGCAGTGGCAACCGGCCACAAGTTTACACCTGAGCTATGGTGGCCTTGTAGAAGTTTCGACTATTGGAGTTTTGGAATGAAGACTAGAAGTTGACGACAATTGGAGTTGACGACTGGAGTGTTGCGCTAGCTTGTTTATTACGTGTTCGGAAATCCTTTCGATACCGAATGTGACGACGAAGCAAGATTGCGATGAGTGCGAACAACGGGCCAAATGATGGTGCCATGGTGGTGGCGGAGGAAACGGAAACTGGAACGACGACGGAACTGACAACAATGACGGGCAAGGCAGAGGCGGAGGTAGTGGAGGAGGTAATGGAAATGGGAATGGTGGCGGTAATAACGGATGGGGTAATGGAAATTGGGGAAATGGAGGAAACAACGGGTGAAATAACGGAGCAAGTAATGATGGTGGCTGAAACGGCGGAAACGGTGGAAATGGTAACAATGGTGGCGGCAACGAGAGTGGTAATTATGGAGGGAATAACGGTGACAACGAAAATTGGAACTGGAGGTGGACGAAGCGGAGGAGGGGGGACAACTGGAGTAATGGCTCGAGCAATGGAGGAGCCGACTGAAAGCGCTCCGTGAGATGCTATAATTGTAACCAGCTTGACCATACTAGCCGAGAGTGTAACGCTCCTTGCAATTCCTGAGGAGGAAGTGGAGGGGGCAACGCCCCGCAGGATGGTGTAAGTAGTTCGGCAACCTCTAACGACCAGGCAGTAACGGCGATACTGAGCAAAGATCTTGAGGAGTCCTTGAGGATGGTGTATCTGTACATCAGTTAGAAGATTGAGGAGAAAGAGAGAAGAGAAACTGAGAAGAGAGAAGCAGAGGAGAGAAAAAAATGGGAGGAGACCGAGAAAACAATAAAAGAGGAGCAGACTCGTTTGGAGATTGAAAGGAAGAAAGCAAAGGAGGATAAGGAGGCGAAACGGGAGTGGAAGATGGAGCAGCTACTGGCTAGACAGAAGCAAACCTTGCATGAAGAATTTGAACTAATGTTCGAGAAGAAACTGCGAAACGCAATAGTCTCACAGAGGGCGGTTAAAGGCAAGGCGAAAATGACATCTAGCTCCGACGAGGAAGAAGAGGAGGAGGAGTTACCGGAGGAACGACTTGAGAAGAGAAAAAAGCAGCCAGTGCAGACGTGTCTTCTCAATTCTGTCGAGGAGTCACCTTCGAAGATGGGGAAGGCTTCCACTTCAGCTTCGGCCCCTAGGGGCACTGGGAGTGAACCATCGCCAAGGCTGGGAGTACCAAGACGTTGAAGTCGGGCCGAAGAACTTGGGTATCCTTATGCGGGGTCACCATTGTGGGAAGGAGCACCGATTGCAGAAGATTATTATACTACGATCGCCTTCAGGAAAGCTATCAGGAAATTCTTCGGTAAGAAACTAAAACCTACGACTGAGGACTCGAGGAGATGTGTCGGGAAGCGGGTGTGGTTTACCGGGGGAGACCCCAAGCAGTCGATGAGCTGGTTGAAATCCGAGTGATGTGTTTCAGCACTGAGGGAACTCGACGAACTACAGAAGTGCCAAGAGAGACTCCACCCAGTCGAAGAAACGGTGGAGTATTGATCAGAGAAATTCGGGATACTGTGCTCGAAGTAACGCCAGATTCGCCCGCTGATGGACCAGAAAGAGGGAGTAGTGACCCGCACAACGAAGGATAGATGGGATGAATTAGGGAACTACGTAAGATTACGAAAACTATTTAACTCTGATCCGACTGTAGGAACGAGAAAGTTGCGCGAAAGACTTCAACGAGTGCTGAGATATTTATTGATCCTACTAGTTCTGAGAGGGGAAGTCCAGTGGGGGGTAAGTTTGTTGAGACATGGTGTGATCTAGTTGAAACTGAAGTCGAGAAATGGGATCATCCAAGTAGTTGTGTTTACGTATTGGTGAATGCAAAATTGTTCATTAAGAAATGGTCACCTAGCTTGAACTCAAAGGGAAAAGGGAAGAATTTGGGGAAAGGCTTACGAAAAGGGCGGAAGGAGAGAAAGACTAAGCGATCTCTTGTTTTTAGGAAGGAACGACCTATTATCTTTACCACCAGAGACCTTAGAAGTTTTCAGACGTGCCCTAGTAGATCTGCAACGTTGCAACAACTACTAACTGTCTCTTATACACATCTCCTTAGAAGTTTTCAGACGTGCCCTAGTAGATCTGCAACGTTGCAACAACTACTAGTAGGTCTCCCACCACCTCCAGGAATTCCGTTGCCTTCTACGAACAACCCTCCCAACCGTTAACAGCTACCAACCAAGACGAAAGCCCAATAGACAAAACCAAAGCAACAGATCACGAACTTGACCCAATTGCCTGGAAGATTCCAGAAAGTAATTCGCAAAACAGGAAAGGCAGGCCCCTATGGCAAAAACAGAACAGCACCAATACCTAATAGGTCTCCCACTTCCTTCCATAGCTCCGTTGCCTTCCACTTCCATATGCTGAAAGAAGCACAAAGTGCAAGTCATCACTTATCGATCCTAGAGTGAATCTCCCCTAAGAATACGGGTAGATACAAAATGGACTATATTCCGTGTTCGACCGAAGTCAGCTCTTAATCTCTACTATATACCGGAAAGAAACATGTTACAGCCTGAGCTCGTCACTGTTCAATCATACTAACTACCTTAACCGAACGGGGAGATAGATATAGCCATCACAGAACTCACTAATTGAAACGACACGTACTCGGCATTGCGTATGAGGTCCGCCCTACCCTTCCTTGCGGAACTGCACCAGCTGTACTTACCACTATAGTACTCAAAACTTGAAAGTGTTCAAATGACAGAGAGTCTAGAGTCTAGAGCTTCTCCCAGGGCGAGCAGTCTTCGTCAGTCGCGCCGGCTCATAGCCTCTCCCATGGTAGTACAAATTCTGCATCCCGTGTCGCCTCCTCTGGTTCCACTCTGTTGTGTTGGTCCCGTAGCTGTTCAGTCCTGATACACTTGGTCCAGGATATGACCAAGGTTCTTCTCCACTTAAGCACAATGTGAAATGAGTACAGGAATGTAGCGCCGTAGAAACCACAGCTAACGCTCCCACTGCCTCCAGCTGGTCTCCCACTCCGTCTGGTGGCATCGTCACCTGTAGCACCTTCGACGTTTCCGGCGTCTTTTAGGTAAGTATGAATTCCCTCTAAGGTCGTAGGAGGCTCGGAAATCACCCTGCTCCCTGATATTCCACAGGGAGACAAAGCCCCTTGTCGAGGCTGAGGGTGATGGCCTGACCTAGAAAGTACCGAGTACTCCATAGCTCCGCCCTCACGCACCGAATCTCGCGCCCAGCTACCAACGCAGAGCACCGCAGTCTCCGGCCGGTGGTAACATTGGTAGCACAGCGCTTCTGCGGAGCGCACCTCCCTGTCCGGGCCTTTCTCGATGATTCATGCGTGTGATCCTGACTTGCACGGGGGGCATTTACTACAGTAATTAATCTTCTCTTTCTCTGTATCACTTCGTTCCACTTGTTAACGGATGTTCGCAGCCCGAAGGCCAATCCCGCTCCCGGCCTTTCTTCTCCTTCTACCCTTTTTTTTTTTTTTTTTTTTTAGCCTTTATTCTTCAGTATCCTCCCCGTTACCCTTGGAGTTCGAAAAAGGAAAGGCGGAGGTTGCAGTGGGAGTATTTGTTGGGACCCCGGGAGGTCCGCTAATGTGCTGACTCAGGGGCTATCAAGCCAGCTCGCTAGGACGCGTCTTCCCTGTTCCTTGACCAGCCCCTGGACCAGCCCGTGGACCAGGTACTTCGGACTCTCAACGGGTGGATTGGGCCGTTGACCAACTCCAACCGGAAGTCGGTCGATAGTGGACATGTTGCGCAGTTGAGCAGTTGCGCTGCTGACTCAGTGCGGAGCTGAGCCGAAGGGTTTCTTCTTTCTTTTTCTTTGTTGGCGTTGTAATCGGCTTTTCTGTTGCTTTTTTCTTTTTTCCCCAACGGAATAAAGAACTCTTCCAGGTGCAGAGGGGGCTTGGGGGGAACGACGGGGAACAACTCTTGCAGGCTCCGCTTCGGAGCGGAACCTAATGCGGGTTCCAACGCAGTGGGGTTGGCGCTTGCGGAGTGTTTGGCTAAGCGGAGGGGGACTCAAGGGGAACGAGATATTCGCTACACGCACAAGCGGGCAGTCGTCTTCGAATGGATGACAAGTAGGAGAACAAGGCCTCGAAGACGGAGCGGCAGCGGGTGCAAGCCGATCTCGTCTTATGCGAGAGCCAGGGTTTGACCACATGCCACGTGTCTGAAAAGATTCTGGGGCTGCTGCTGGGTTGCTCACGACAGCCGCGGGAACTCGTCCTGCAAACGGTTTGTGTGTGTGTGTGTGTGTGTGTGTGTGTGTGCGTGTGTGCGAGAGAGAGAGAGAGAGAGAGAGAGAGAGAGAGAGAGAGAGAGAGAGAATGGGTGTTTTCGCATAGGGAGGGTGAGAGAACGTGTCCAATGAACTGAGAGGACTCTTCCACAGATCCACGTAAGTGTACACACACACGCGCACACACACACACGCACACACACACACACACACACACAC